CCTGAAAAATATAAAGATTTTCCTGATTGATTTTCTTTACCAGAGATTCCATTGAGCTTGGAATTCCTGCTAACAGCAGCGGGAATCCCCTACACAGATGAAAGCAGAGTTTATTCTATAATCATTAAATTACAAGGTACTAGAGATGAAGTAAAAATAGTAAAACAGAGTGGTGAAAAGCATGGACAGGAGTTGGTTCTAATCTAACCCACAGCACCAGACGTATTCAGTAAACATTAGCTAATGTCATAGTTATTGTTAACAAACATTGAGGAATAGCAGAAGGAAGATGTACTAGAGATTTTGAAGAAGCAGTCAGTTATTTCCAGTTGGGAGAACAGGAGGATGCTCTCAGGAAGAGAGGGATTTGAAAGATAAATGGAATGGGAATAGGCAGAGAAGAGGAAGCAAGTCAAGGCCTGTGCCTCAGCAATATCTATCCTTTCTTCCTCTTCTTTCCTATGAAACTGATACATTATCCATCATTCCTTTGAATTTTGGGTCTCTTCACATATATTCTCTTTAGTCCATTATTTTTATTGAGTGGCAAGATTATTATGATCTCTGAACACACTATGATCTCTGAACACATAATAATCTGGCCACACAGTGTGTGTATATATATCTATATCTATATCTATCTATCTATCTATATAGATAGATAGATAAATATAGATACACACACACACTATATATATATATATATATATATATATATATATATATATATATATATATTAGAGACCTGATGCATGAATTTGTGCATGGGTGGGGTCCAGCTAGCCTGGCCACAGAGAGAGGACATGGGCAGTTGGTCGGCCTGCCTGCTGGTCAAACTCCTGGTTAAGGGGACAGTTTGCATATTAGCCTTTTATTATATAGGATATATGTGAGTGGCCAGATTATTATGCGTTCAGAGATACAATAATCTGGCCACAATATATATACAGTGTGAGTGTATATATATTTATATATGGCATAATAAGGAATATATTAGCTTATAGTGACACTAAGTGCCTATCTTTGAGCAACACACTATAATTTACCCAGGAATATACTTAATGAATCCATCATGACCAATAGATAGTATTACTATTCCCAAAAAATTGGGTAACAAGGAATTGAGACATATATTAAGTAACTTGTTCAAAATCACACAACTAGTAAATGGAAAGTCAGAATTTCAATTTAAGTAGACTTGCTTCCGCTTAGATGCTTTCTGTACAAGTCACCCAGCATTTGGAGTATTGTGTCAATTTTGTACCCTACTCTTTAGATGGGCCATGAAAACCCCAAGTCTACATAAAAACTACCAGGATCAATCTGGTAAATATAGCATGTAAAGGTGAAGTAATGTAGGGTGTTCAGTTAAGATAAATGAAGAATTTTCTAAAAAGCGTGATAACATTGAGAATATTAATGGGTACACCACCAATAACAGAACAGGGCTCTGACTCTCTGGTGAGTTACTCCAAGCCTCTTGCATTAAGAGCTACATTAGAAAAGAGAGGAGAGATCCAAGCTGGGATTTTCAAAGCAGATCCTAGTTCCACAGTGACAGTTACAGAAAAGACTTCAACCATATATTAGGAAGAACTTCAAAATCAATATGTCAAAAAATAGAATTGCTATGTCTGATCCTCATCCAGGAGGTGTGCAGAGATAGCCAAGAACTGGTCATCATAGATGTTATTCTATGAATTCGAGTATGGGATGGAGGGTGAACCTGGTAACCTTTAATATACTGTGACTGAGATGGGCTATCTGTTTACCAGATCTGTTTTGCCTTATTCCTGGGAACAGATGAGATAGGTTTCCCAGCCTCCTTTGCAGTTAGATGTGGCCAAAGAACTAGTTCCCACCAGGAAATACTGGTATGTATACCTCTTGACCTGCCTCATAAGTACACATGCTATCTTCCATGGTCTTTTTCCTTGATTCAGGTGAGCCTAACAACCTTAAAAATCATGTGTTACAAATACTGGAGTCACAAGAAGGTAAGATCCCATGTGCATGAAGCACCCCAAGGCATGCTACCTCCCCATGAGAAGCAGCAGCAATTAATAACCACTTACAGTGTCAGTGCACTGATATTTGGGAGTATGTTGTCGAGCAGTGGTTCTCAACCTTTCTGATGCCGGTACCCTTTAATATAGTTCCTCATGTTGTGGTGACCCCCAACCATAAAATTATTTTCATTGCTACTTAATAATTATAATTTTGCTACTGATAATGAATCATTATGTAAATATCTGTGTTTTCCAATGGTCTTAAGTTCTACACCAGCGGTTCTCAACCTGTGAGTCACTGCTAGCAGGGTCGCTTAAGACTTTTAATAAATCGTAATGTAAATATCTGGGTTTTCTGATGGTCTTAGGCTCTACAGCAGTGGTTCTCAACCTGTGGGTCATGATATATATTATATATAATAATTTTATGGTTAAGGGTCACCACAACATAAGGAACTGTATTAAAGGGTCACGTCATTAGAAAGGTTGAGAACCACTGTTGTAGAGCAACATGATTACCTTAACTAAAATAGATGCCTTCCAATATGATCTCTTTTTTGGCAACTGGAGTGTAAATTATTTGAAACCAAAATAATAGCTCTTGTTCAATTTTGTGACATGTAAGTACAAATGAAATATTTTAAACTTAGTAGGTATTGAATATATACATATCAAATGGTAGAGAAAGCCAACATTCTAAGGCAAAAAAAACATACAAGGGGAGTATTTAAATGGCTGGTCACCCAATTTAAAAGGAGCAGAAGATTTGAGTGTAGTACACACACATACATACACAATTTGGAGTAGTTTTTTAAATTATGTATAGTGCTTATGAAAGCACAGATGAGATATTTGTCAAAAGATACTATAAAAATCTTGGAACTCATTGAATCAATATGAAAAATATGAGGTACTGTTTTCAACTCCCTCGCTGAATATTTTTATTCCATGAGGACTGTTGTTTTCTTTTGAGGTACAGAGAATTAATATCATGAATTTTATTTTTTATTTCCAGGGCTCTTTTGATGCCTCCCTGATCTGGCTGAGATCTGACATACCTAAATGATATATCGGCAGAAATTGTACTCTTGGAGTCTCTCCAAACAGCACCAGAAAAGGAAGTGCCAGAAATTTCAGAAGAAAGCCTGTTTTCATGAGATTTCCTGCCTTCATTACATCTCAACATGTCCAAATAGTTCAGATAACCTCCAGTTGAACTCTAGGTTGCTTCACTCAGATAGAAATCAAGCAGTTGATTTGTACCATTGTTGAATGGGTACGATTTAGTGACTCTGATTTTTTTTTTTTTTTAAAAAAGCATCCCAATCAAAAGGGACACTGGATACCAAAATTCTGGGCCTGACTGTATGGACTCTAGCCAGCTTCCCTGCTCTGGCACCTGATGCCTGGTTTCAAGCCATTCCTCTTCCTCAAAGCGTTTCTCAGTGTTTATATATGCCTTTCATTCACTGTTCATTTCTGACAAAAATTTTCAACAATTTCTTCCTCTAAGGAAAGTCACCATTTTCTCACAATTTCTTTAAGCCTGAAAACCCCAATGTTTGTCTTACCCCTCTTATGAGCATGATATCTAACTTAGAAATGCCATTGAGTTAAAATTTTGGGAGTAAGAATACTTCCCCAACCAGAGATCTAGCTATTGAAAATTAAAATTGTGAGGTCAGACATTTCTTTGGCCAGGACATGCCTTTTATTTCCTTTGTCATCTATTTTCATGGATGACATTAATGCAATCCCGGAAATGGTCATGTTATTAGTAAAGATTTTGAGTCTCACTAATTGCTACTTCTTTTTTAGAAATCTTATTTCTGTTTTGTTTAGCTTTCCACTCCTGGCACACTCTTTAGTTTTCTATAGAAAAACTACATGAAAATCATTCAATCGGTTTCTCAACTAACATGCTCATTATTTCCTTTTATTTTGCTTGTTTTTAATCCTACTTAATATTCATGTTACCCCTAGTGAAGGCCGCACACAGAACCTACTACTACCTACAATTAATTGTGTTCAGCACAGAGCTCCCCCCTCATTATAGCCTAGAATTGGTTCTTCTGTGACAGAAATACCATTATAAGTTCACAAAATGGCTTATCTTAATATTTGTTTTGACAAGAGCATGGAAATGCCAAGAATAATTTATGGAAGCACACGCCTAAAATATAATGCACCTATTATTTAAAAAAAGATAGAAATCTTCAGAAAAAAATTAAAATATTGACACAATATTCAAAGAATCCAAATTCAAAGAATACCAAGTGCCAGACTGCAACTTTCTGCACAGAATCCCTAAATCCTTTCTTCTTTTCTTTGGAAAGGCATAGTTGAGACTACAGACATGTTAAAGCCAGTAGTGAGGAAGGGTATTACAGGAACACACCATTATACACACACACACACACACACACACACACACACACACACACACAGTACATACATTACACACACACATTACACACACACTACACACACTACATACATTGCGCACACACACACACCACAAACACACACACACACTCCCATCTATGTCCAACTGGGGATCGTGCAGGAAAGAGAGCACATTACAATTTTCCTCCAGTCCCTTTCGGTCCTTTTTCCCCAGGCTGTGGCAGAACCTGGCAGACACGTTAGCTCAGGAAATCAAAGGAACGCCAGCACATCAGTATGGGAGTAAAACTGCGTTCTTATTGACATCTGGAATCCAATTTTCTTGTAGGAACTTGCAGTAGGAATTGAACTTTGAGAAACCATCCACCTCAACCTCTCCCATTACCGATCTCCAGGCTTCCTGCCCTGAATGGTCATCTGCTGCACTTAGGTACTTATTGTTAGGGTGCATTGCTCAGGACAAATCACAGGTGAGGGAAGGTAATGGGGCTCCCTCTCCACCCCTGAAGCGGACGACTGCGGGAGGAGCACACATCATGGGGTGGGGGGACCGCCACCATGGCCTGAGAGCTGTGCAAACCTTACCACGTATGCGCCACGGTGAAACGCCGCTGTTTGGGGATGTTGCTGTTGAGAAGCATCCTGCGCAGGAGCCTGGGGGAGTTCCTGGGAGAAATCACCGGGGAGAGCCTGGGAGAGACAGATTTCCTGGCCGCCTTGGACTTCTCGTTCTGCAACAGGTTTTCGCGCAAGGATTTCACCAGGTCCTCGTTCAGCCAGGGGTTTGCGCCATGCGGATTATCCACCTCGGGCACGGCCAAGGTGTCCGGGCTTGCCGCCTGCTGAGCCATGGTTCCCGGTCAACTTTGTACAGTTGGCAGCGGTCCAGGGCAACGTGGTTCCCTGGCCCCTTTCCAGGGATCGCTTCGCTCGGGCTCGGCGTCTGGGGAAATGTCCAGGGAGGCAGGTCGGAACCAGCTGCTGCTTCTCTCGCATTCGGTGGCCTGCCTGCCTCAGTGTCTCGGTGGAGGTGGGGCTGGGTGCCCAGGGGGAGTGCACTCCTCCTCCCCTGGAGCCTAGTAAACGTCACCCCTCCCCGGCGATCCCCGCGGAGCCTGTGCGCAGCTCCCCCTGCAAAGGAACATGGAGGGAGCGGCGCCGGCTGGCTTTGTCCGCGCCCGGCGTTGGCGGCCCTGCTAAACTATTGGAACTAATGCGCCGCAGCTGCTCCCGCGACTTCTGCTTATGTACATACAGAGTCCTGGGGGAGGGCTGAGCCATCAGATGCCTGCTGCTCGGAGGTGGGGCTGGCCTTTCCATGTACTGATTCCTGAATCCAAGGGAAAGAAAGACTGTGAACTTGACCCTCCCCTCCAGCAGGGGTATTTATCTCCCTTCAGTCCATGGCCCTAAAAGAAAATTGCCAGTCCTTTGGTTTTTAAAAGGGGAGTATGAATGAGCAAGCACTGGCTAGGCAAGGAGAAATGTTTCCCTGTTGCTAAACTCAGTCTGAGAAAAGGCTTTGAAGACATCTCAAGGGAATACAATGGACTCCTGTTATCCCTCTCTTGGTACCTTGTTAGAAATCAAACAAGAAGTTAAAAAAAAAAAAAAATACTACACGTGAAACACATTGCAGGTCGCTGTGGTGTTGTACAAACTTGCTAATGGTGGCCCTTGCATGAGTAGACGCTATGGACACTCACAAATGGCATTGGCTCTCTTTGGACATGGCCCTCCAGAGGGATAGACCGTTTTCATAAGAGGAGCTAAACAATGATTTTAAAGTTTCAATTATTTCTCATTGTATGTACAATTTTATGCATTCAACTATAAAATAACAAAATTAATCTAGCTTTTCATTGTTATTTTCTCAGCTGTCATTTAACCTAACATTTTCATTTGTGATATTTGTGATCAACATAGCTCAAAGAAACTAATTCAGAGGTAGTTTAAAATAAAAGAATAAAATTATTATTTTTTGCCTATTTAGTCTGCTGCCGCAATGAAATGTTAATGTCACAACAATTCAAGTAATTAAGTGATAAAGCCTGTTAAATCTTATATTGAAAATTACATTATGCACTAGAAGTGGAAACATTACTACTGGTTTAGAAAGATACCCAAGCCTTTGAACAGAGAGGACCCAGCAGCCTAGTGATGCGCAGCTAGTTCAGGATTAAATAAAATAATAATTCTCAGGATCTATGAATAATTTCATTTAAAAAAAAAACATACAAGTTAAGAAGAGGTTAAAAAATGTGTCCAGATAAAAGGAAGACTGGAATAGTCTGGTTCAATTATTTTGGAGGGGTTCTATGATTACTATTAAGTCAACCCTAAAAGATTCTCCTATTTCCCTCCTTAGTTGTTCTATCTTAAGTTTTAATTACTTGCCTTTAAAATGTTACAGAAAGGGACACTCTGAGGTTCTGAAGCACAGTCACCACTTGATATACCTACAATGATTTCATGAGACATATGTGCCATGACTTAATCAGAAAATCTGCCATGTAAATTCTCCGGTTTTAAAAAATCAGGATGTGTTATTCTTTTTTTCATCTTTATTCTGGAAAGTATTACCGATGTCCCCTATTTTGTTTTTCCCATTGACCCCTCCATCTCCCACCCTACCCGCTTCCAGGCCTTCACTACATTCATCACTATTCCACATTAAGTGACAAGGCCTCTTACTTTAAGGAATATATACACTATATGCCTTTAAACAGTAGCCAATTTATTTAGAGTGGGTGGAGGAATTGTCAACTGCATCAGGAGATATGCAAACCAGGACAGTAATGCTTTTCCCCAAGGAGCTTGTAATGTGATGACTCAGTGGAAAGGGCAGGGCAATGCTCAGGAAAAGTCACCAGAATAACTAAGAAAGTGATATTACCAGGTGCAGGAAAATGCAACGAACATGCTAGGCATAATGGATGAAGGAATGGTGAAGTGGAGAACAGTCTGAAGGGGGGAAATGCACAGCAGAATGAGAAACTAGAATGTGCAAATGAAGAAGTAAGCAAGTTTTGTTTCAAAACAAAAAGCTCAGGAATTGGTATGTATAAAACTTGTTTAGGTTTGTGAGATAAAAATTCAAATAACAGGATAAAGCGAGGAAAACAAACAGGAGGCAGTATACTAACATGGTATTTAAAAATTAGAAAACTTTCACATTTTTTAAGGACTTAGTTCCATTCAACGAACATTTATGGGTATTTACAGTATTTTGTGCAAGGCACTATATTGAGCATTCTAGGATACTTAACATGCTTTTAATATGTTTTTATTTGAGTAGGCCCTGAGCATTCCTGGTGCTAGGCTGGATTTAAATATCAAAAACCTCTTCCCCACACCATGGGTACAAGACAATTCAAACAAGTTTTGTTGCAGTGAGAGGACAGCTGCTGTCGGCCAAGTCTCTATTACCTGGGTCCCTATTTGAGCTGGGCATGGAAAGCTAAACAGCCATGGGGGCAGGAGATGTCTTTATTTATTTTTTAGAGAGAAAGAAAGGGGAAGAGGAATAGAGATAGAAACACCGATAGAGAGAACATCCATAACATCGATCAATTGGCTGCCTCCCACATGCTCCCCACTGAGGATCAAGCCCTAAACCTGGGCCTGTGCCCTGACCTAGAATGGAACTCAGAGACCTCTTGGTTTATGGGTCAATGCTCAACCACTAAGCCACACAGGCCAGGCTGTTGTGGGTTATTTAAAGAATAGCTTTGCCAAAACCAGTTTGGCTCAGTGGATAGAGCATCGGTCTGCGGACTGAAAGGTCCCAGGTTCGATTCCGGCCAAGGGCATGCGCATTGATTGCGGGCACATCCCTGGTGGGGAGTGTGCAGGAGGCAACTGGTTGATGTTTCTCTCTCATCCATGTTTCTAGCTCTCTATCCCTCTCCCTTCCTCTCTGTAAAAAATCAATAATAATAAAAAAGAATAGCTTGATGCTACCCCATCATCTCTGAGTTTATAATCTAGCAAGGTCGATAAAGTACAGAGCAATTGACATGGCAAAGGATAGCCCAAGTACCCAGATGAGAGCCTGGAAGCTGAAGATGTTTAAATGACTGGCTTTAAGGAGAGAAACGTGATTCTCAGTGATAAAATAAAAGACTTTATATGACTAAGAATGATATGGGCCTAGTACTGGGAAATCCACTGTGTTCAGGAGACTCCAGGTTCCAAGCCTTGCACTCAGTGACCTTCTTTGAGGAGGAGTAAACTATTTGCAAGCTTGTATTCTCATAAACAGCATGTCATGTGGATGCTCAGAGAAACGGGACACTTGTTGATAGTCACAACTAAGCTAAAGCAGAAGATATAACAATATTCCATTAAAAACTGATTGAGGATTATGATTAAACCAGACCCAAACTGAACAAAGGCTGTGTGCAAAGCTCCCATTGCTGTGGAAATGTTAAGGATTCCATTATAGAGCAGAACTGGCTGCCCCTTCACAGGGTCTGGTAACCTATCATTATTTGTTTAATTTCCTTATCTCTGCAATTATCCGCCTGAATCCCACAAGTGATATATGGCATGCATGCTGCCTTTTGAAAATAAAATTAGTTTTGATTTGAGAATTCTTTGCCACCTCCTTGAAATAATTGAAACACCCCACAGTGTTTCTGGCTTTAAAATCACTGTTTTGGAGGCATCCATTGTGAAGTTCTGAACTCAACCAAAGGTGGGTGAGGTTGAATAAACTGACAATTTTCTTTATAACAATGCAGTGGGTCAGAGGAACTCTTCCAACAAAAGCACTATGTACACATCTTGCCTCTTTATTAAAACAAAATCTCTTTAAAATTGGCTGCCAGAAACTTTTCTGAAAAACACAGTACTGTAAGTGACAGCCAAATCAGACCTTAGGTTTTAACAAGTGAAAATGTAAAATTGGGTGAAAATTTTTGATAATGTCACCACATCTAGAACAGCAGATAACATTGTATAACTTCATAAACGTTTTCCTACATAGCTCTTTATAGATTTTCAAAATTTGCTTTCTTAGATGACTCAGAGTCCTTGAAAACTTTATTTAATTGTTCATAGGCAGCAAAACAAATAAGAAATAAGATTTGCATAGGTTCTGGTACAAGGATTGAAAAGCGTGCTCTTGTCTAGGTGGGAAGAAGCAAGGCTGGATTTCCCACAATTGAAAGGTAGCAATGGTGCAGCTAATTCAAAAGAACTGATCAATTAAAATGATTTATATTCGACCATGGAATGTATTTGCTGCTTCTTCCAACTCTGTTTTAATTAGGTCAACAGTGTGTTAAAATAAGACTTGCTTTTTCAATTGCCCATTGGATATGGCCCATAGAAATTATGTCATAGTGGTACAAGTTGTGTTGTCTGCTAGTTAAGAATGGTGTGTTTGGAACCCAAAAGTATGTTTTGAACTCTAGGTATGATACGTACTAGCTGTTTTACTTTACTTGTCTCTTAAATATAATGATAATCATAAAATAATAATAATAAAATAATAATAATAATAATAATAATAATAATAATAATAGCTCTTGTATAAGGATATTGCAAAGATTACATGTGTTAACATCCATTATGTAAGATGTTTAGAAGAGTGCCTGGTACAGAGTAAATACTCAATTAAATGAAACCTGCCACTAGTTGATACAAGGAACCTACAAAAATTTATACTTAGTGCCAGGCATTTTCCATTTTATTATATTTAAGTCTTACAATAATTCTTAAGGTGTTATTTCATACCACTATTTTGCTGATGAGGGCTTTAGAAAGTTAAATAAGCTTCCCAAAGGCAAATAGTTCAATATTGCAAACTGAGATTTGATTGTCTATGAAATGCCAAATCCTTTTA